GCTTTATTCTTAATTGAGTTTATATTACAAAATCATCTTTGAAATTGTTTCATACCATCAAGATAGTTCTTGAAATTAAAAATCAATTAACGTAGTCATTGAAAATAGATGTCACAAATAAATATGGTCATTATGTCATAATTTTGTCAAAAATTCTGTTATGTGCTGATGTGTGTTTAACAATTAATTAAAAAAGTTGTCAAAACACATTTTTGCACAATGAGATTATCTCAAGGCAGAGCTTGACGTTCTCCACATCACCAAGATCACCGGGGGAGCACCCAACAAGCTCTCCAAGATTAGGATTGTGAAGATGTCAATCTCCCAAATGTTGACGGTGGAGTCACAAAAGTCATCACCAATCAAAGCCGTCAGCAAAGGCGGTCTCAATCCTGGTCCAATTCGATGAAGGGTGTAAAGATGAGTGTCTTGATAATTTTTTAGAGAAGAGAAGGCGAAGGTTACCATAGATGGAGGTAGAGGAGTATGAGTTGGGAACGGAGATGATTAATTATTAAATTATTAGACATATTTCTAACGATAGGGATAAATTCACTCATTTTAAAGAATCAAGTAGCTAAATTGGAGACAATATAAATATTAGAAAACTGATCCGTCTCTCTAAAATTTAATTGTTTCTCTTCTGTTATATGTTGATAGATGCATAAGTGCAAATTTTGAGAAGGATTCTTTAACTGAACTCTAGCAGTGCCGCTCTCTCTCTCTCAAGAAGAACAAAAGGATCATCTCACCGCCGACCCTTTTCTTTGGTAGGGCTCGGTTGGCAACCTTTTCTTCTTTGTAATTTCCTTTTTCATTTTTTTCTCTAGAATTTTCCTTATCCTATCTAGAATCTCAGGCTATGCCTTCATGGATGGCATGTTTTCCTGGCGTGCTTTGGCATTATCCTAGCGTTCTTCGTCGGTTTTCTGGTGTTTGTCTTTATTTTGTGTTCGAAAAACCTAATCATCCTGCAATTTCCATCCTTCAACCCCCAACACCCAACACCCATCAGTTTCTATCTCCTTCATAATCTCCCCTTATTTGAGCATCTCCACTCGTTGGTAGAAGACAATGACAATTAGAAGGCAAGGGCCCCTTACTATTCACAAATATTTTTTTTTAATTTTTTAATGTTTTCTTCGTCTTTTCTCCATGTGTTAAATTTGCATTGTGTCTTATTTTATTATTTTAGTGTGTTTAATTTGATATGTTTAGCTTGCAGCGTGTCAAACTTTGTAAGATTTTATTAGTGTAAACTTTGTATGTTTTTTAAATGTTTTTAATAATTTTTAAAACAAATTTTAAGTTTTCTTAAATTTTTTTAGAGTAGGATTAATCCTAGTCGTTCAATTTTTAGAATATGACGCGCCACAATGCGCCACGTGGCCCGACCCCAAGATTTTTTGTTTTTTTGTCTTTACTGTTGGAAATCTAACGACCCAGATCAACAGGCTGTTGAAAATCCAACGGCTGTTGTTTCATCGAACGGTTTGGTTTTGCGGTTTTGAAACGGTTTTGGCTTTGAAACTGAACCGCAACATAGAAAATGGTTTGGTTTCAGTTTTGGCTTTTGCAAACCACACCGTAAATATTAATAAACATTTAATTAAATGTCCATATTAGATTTCATGTTTTAATTGGTTGCTTGTTAGAATCTATACACTTAGTATGGACTCAACCACACTAGAATATCATCATTCATCACTTTTTTTCGTTCATTAACTTGAAGGACCTTTGTTATTTTATACCATCATACACACACACACATACATGTACTGCATGCAACATGTTAATTGTTTACATAACAAATGTTTTTTTCCTATTGCTACTGGGAAATGCTTATTAATATGTTAAATTGCAAATTGTACATTTTTTCTTAAAAACCAAACTGAAACCGTTTTAAACCGCACCGAACCGAACCAAACGATTTGGTTTCATTTCGGTTTTGGCTTCAAAACCGCACCAAACCAAACCGCAAAAAATTTCGGTTTTGGTTTTGATTTCACTCAAAACCACACCGAACCAAACTGTGCCCACCCCTAAAACCAAGAGAGAAAGAACCCCATAATTTTAGATATATACTCATATTTTATAATATAATATATATATATATATATAAAATAAATTAACCTATATGTTATTTTATTTTGTAATTTATGTATCTCAATACAATTTTATATTTTTTAAGTATAAAAAGACACTTATTTATACAATTTTACTTAAATCCGCCTAGTCCGCCTAGACGCCCGCCTAGCCGCCTAGGCGCTAGGCCCCAGTCCACCGCCCGACTAGCGCCTAGCATCTTTTAGAACCTTGCGTAATATACATTGAGTCTTCCTTCGTTCAATGAAATTTATGTTTTCTCCGACCCAAAGAAATGCAAATATCTTGAGAAAAAATTGTGCAAAGAGAGCGCGCACCACACATTACTTTTGGCAAACCGGCCCCCAACTTTTCATTTCTCGATGCCCACCTGCTTAAATTTGTACCAAACACAATTTACTTTTGCTTTTTTTTTTTTATCCAATATACAAAATTATTCGGTACTGTGATGGTGTCGGTGAGAGCTGCATAAATCCTTTTATTTATTTATTTTCCGAACATAGATACTTTTGTTGATGACCGTGCAATCTACTGCTTGATTTTATTAGTATTTGGTGATCAAGCTCTAAGCTTATTTACACGATGACGAGAACAACAAAAGGTCTTATTCTAGTAAATGCGGTCGGTTATATGAATTTTTAAATGTTATTAAATTTGGTTTAATTAGAGATAAGTTTTTCGTGATTTTCAAGTATATATATTTTTAAATTTTCTTTAATTTTCATCCACCTTTTTTGCTGTGAGTCTCTGACTCAAACTCTCACGTTAAAGAAATTAATAAACCTTCTACTTTAGCACTAGTTACTTAATCTGATTGATCACAAAAACATTACTTAATTTACATTGGTTTTATAATCCAATACATAGATAGCACGGTTAGCACTTACGTGCTTCTCTAAGCAGTAACTAACACATACAGATCTGGACTAAACCAAATTATTATCATCTATGTACCCAAATTTAAATTAATGTAGTACATGAGACAAATTAGACGTCCAATAAAAAGAATTGTTGGCTTTGAAATTTTGATTGGATCATAACTATGGACCGTACAAGAAGGTGGTTACATTAATTAAAGCAAAAATGGCACATCCGATAGTGCGGAGAGGTGGCAATGATTCAACTGATAAAAGCATACGGAATAGAAAGTTCCTTTCTTTATTATTAAAGTAGGGAACAAAAAATAGACCAGAAATCAAACAAAAGCAAATGCTACAAAAATAACTTACATACAACGAGATTATCGTTATTATAATATTTCAATATAATAATATATTGTGACGTAGAAAATATTTACACATGACAATACATTAGTGGACCGAAATGCCACATTGAGATGAACCCTTTCATATAAATCATTCTCATGTGTTATTGAAATACGGTAAGTTTGGCCATTTGAAAATCTAATTGGACATTTGTTATAAGAATATTTTTCTTTTAAACATAAGAGAAAGAGAAATGATAAGGGAACTCTCTCAAAAGTAGGATGTCACCTCATTGCACAATGTTTTATAATCTTGATACGAGAATTAACGTTAAATTGTGAGATGTTAAAAAATCTATATACAAGTGATATGGTGTAAGTGGGTAATCTTTTTACTTTCATAATTTTGAAATCTGCGTGAGCGTGCCCAACCAGATCTCATTAGGTACTTTTATAAGTATTTTGTTAACTAAAAAAATATTGAATATTAACATCGCGAAAAAACCAACATGTTTCAATCCGTAAAGAGCATTTTTTTAGTACGTTTTTCAACAGACTCCTATGCAAAACATTTGAACAAAAATCTTGGAATCTGCTCGTCAAGATCTACAAATTAAAAAATGCCAGCTTGCTTACGATTGGTTACTGCATCTTATGCACTAAAACAACAGTAATGATATTCTTACCACGTTAATATACCACATTAGTGTACCACATTATGTGCCATCTGATGTTATTGTCGACATCATCTAAATTAATCTTAATTTAATTTAAATTAAAAATCATTTAATAAACCAATAATATAAAAAAATCTGAAATTAAATGGTGATTGTAGCATACGAGGAGTCTTCTTCTTCCTTCATTCCCCATTGCTTCTTCTCCCGTTTCTTCTTCCACGCCATTTTTTTGTTTCAGCCCATAATGACGGTTCTATGATTTCACATTTATTTTTCGCGAATGATTCTGTGTTGTTTTCTCATGCTACTAAAAGAGAAGCCCGACGAGTCTTAAGCGTACTAGACTGCTATTCTAGCACCTCTGGTCAACTAGTCAATTTGGATAAAAAGCTCTCTTTTCTTCGATGCGGGCTTCTATAAAAAGGAAGATCGCTAAATGTTTGAATATCCAGACTCAGGAGAAGTTTGGAAAATATATGGGGAAGAAATCTGGGCGGAAACAAAAAAATGGCGTGGAAGAAGAAATGGGAGAAGAAGCAACGGGGAAGGAAGGAAGGAATGAGAAGACTCCTTGTATGCCACAATCACCATTCAATTCCAGATTTTTTTTATTATTGGTTTATTAAATGATTTTTAATTTAAATTAAATTAAGATTAATTTAGATGATGTGAACATCCACATCATCAGATGCCACATAATATGATATACTAATATGATAAGAATAGCATTACTGCTAAAACAATGTTAATTAATATTTGCCGAGACCCGAGATTTTTATATTCTTTTGATACAATCAATATCTAATCACAAGATCTCAAATATAATGTAAAGATAAACGTCTTTAACTAATTGAGTTGCAGAACTGTACTCTGCAAACCCTAGAATTAAAAGCAAAAAGAAAGTAAAAATCAGATCTCACGTGCTATTGCATAAAAAAAGAGACCACGTTCTCTCATCAATGCCTGGCCCTTGGGGCCAAGCAACTTCCACTAAAATTGCAACATAATAATTGAGTCAACAAAATATGAATAATAATTTGAAATTTTGGACAACCTCTCTTAGTCCCTGTGGTAGTAGGTAACTTATAAGAGTGAAGCTTTAGCTATCAGATCATAGCAATGGATGTTTCAAATCAGATCACCATCCAGGAAGAAGCAGCTGGTTCAAGTTTTATGGATCTTGGCGTGTACAATGCGGCAAAAGCCGGCGAAGTCGACGTCCTTTGGAAGCACAGAGACCACCTTGACCGAATGTTGACTCCAACCAAGAACACAATCCTCCATGTTTACATAGCATGCTCAACGTTGACTGAAACTGACTCCGAAGAAACACTACTACTAGTAATGAAGTCAGCTAATGTCGTCGAGAAGATTGTTGAAATGTGTCCGCCGTTACTGTTCCAGCCCAACGACGGCGGTGACACCGCATTGCACGTCGCGGCGAGGCACGGCTGTACTCGTGTGGTTCAAGTTCTTCTTAAGCAGGCTGCGAAAAGAGATTGCGGCCCCGTGGGAAAGCTGATGGGGGCAACCAACAAAGTGAAGGACACGGCGTTGCACGAGGCAGTGCGGTTTAACCACCGTGGTGTGGTGGAGGTGTTGACTCGAGAAGATCCTGAGGTTTTGTACTCTGCTAACGTAGACGGCGATACGCCGCTCTACTTGGCTGCTGAGAGGGGATACCGTGATTTGGTTTTCGAAATGCTTGGGACTTGTAAATGTTTAGCTTATGGAGGCCGCAACGGTAGAACGGCTTTGCACGCTGCTGTGATCTGCAACGATGAAGGTACGTATGTAATTAATTCACATATTATTTTCATTTACCTTTGGTTTAATTTTTCATTTCTCAAGCTTGAGATCGATTAGGATCCATTTTTACTCAATGTGATATGCTAATTACAATTAGTTAGTTATTAGTTATACATATTCGGACGAAATCCGAGAAAAGAACTTTATTCGGACGAAAAAAAAGCATTATTAACATGTCATGCTCAATTCGAGAAAAAACTTTATTCACATGTTGTGCTCTAATTGATTCTTAACTATGAAATTATGTCGGCGCTGACGCCCGATCTCTCATTGCAAAGTTAGTATAAGTTTTCTCAGTTCAAGTACCTAAGTAGTTTTTTCTAAACTGTAATGTTATATGTAAAAAGACCTCTGTTTTATTTATCTTATTTTGTTATTTGTATTCTTTTTTGCTTTAGAAATGACGAGAGAATTACTAAAGTACACTGCAAAAATGGCTCTCACCAAAGCGGTAGATGGCCAAGGATGGACACCTCTTCACTTCGCTGCACTCTTCGGTCACCCTTCCATTGCGAAACAACTGCTAGAATCCGATAGATCGGCTGCGTACATTGGCGACAAAGAGTACAAGCAGACACCCCTCCACATTGCAGCCTTTGAAGGACATGAAGGTGTAATGAGAGAGCTTGTTTTGCATTGCCCCGATTGTTGTGAACTGGTCGACTACAAAGGCCGGAATGTTCTTCACTACGCCGTTAAGTGGTGTCAAAGTCCAATTGTACAGGATTTTGTTCTGAAGGATCCATGGGTTAGCAACACCTTGTTAAATGGAAAGGATGCTAATGGGAACACACCGCTCCATCTACTCGCTCTTTCTCCGCTATGCGCATCTGATCGTTTTTTATGTGATGGTAGAGTTGATAAGATGGCATTCAACAAGGCAAACCTAAATGCTTTAGACATTGTTCTGGCTGATGAAACTCTGCCACCAACACTCAAGGTATGGTTGTTGCACTTGCAATTACATGTAAGAGTCACTTATCCTTAACTATTGGTCACAATTCGGCACATATATCCAACTATCTCATTAAAACTACAAAAAGAAACGTTTATGCAAACATGCTGAGATCTTATTTGTCTGCAAGGATTTTCCTTATGTATGTGGTCAAACTGAAAATTAGGCATCTTTCTTCTTTGTGTTGCAGAGTGCCAATGGATGCATTTTGGGAAGGAATGGGGCTAGACCAGGTTGTCATCGAATTTTATGCGGTGAAGACACTGTATGCCAAAAATTCTATCCTTTTAGAAAAATTGAAATTGAGCAATTCGAAGAAAACAAAGGTGGTAGCAGAAGTACAACATTCAATCTATTCGAATGTGGCAAAGACACAGATGTAATATTGAAGCAAGTCAAAGAAGCCCATCTAGTAATGGCTACACTGATTGCAACCGCAACCTTCGCAGCAGGTTTCGTCATGCCCGGTGTTTGTTACCAAAGTGAAAAAGGACCACCAAGCCAAGATTGTGCAGTTCTAACGAGACAAACAGCTTACCAAGCTTTTGTTGTAATGGATGCACTGGCCTTGTTTATGTCCACTTGTTCTGTCTTGATGCACTTTTATTTGTCTAGGCCGGACGCGATTGTTTGGGCGTTATCTTCTACCATGACCGCCTTGATTTTCACGGTGACTGCACTTATTACCGGCACATATGCAGTATCAGGTCATTCTCCAGGATTCGCCATCGCTGCTTGTGTGCTTGGCTTCTGGTACTTTTCCGCAGCTCTTTTCATGCTTGGTCGTCCATCTACCAAAGCTTTTCGGCGGCATTTTTTTCCAGTTGCCACCGCAGCGTAGTTGAATCAAAATTCTCTATTTGCCTTGTTTTCACTTGATTTGATTTCTAATCTAATATATGCCTTGTATGTACAAATCCAAATTAAGTTAACTTGTAAGTACGTCGGACTGGACAGCACAACTGCGCCAACCGAACTAAACCCGTCACCTCTCTTAATTAGTTCACCATCTTCAAACCATTAACCACATTAGGAATCTCTTTCTTCCAAAACTACTTTTCTGGCTTCAGGATGATACTCCAGTAGACTGAAGTAGGCCATTGTGTACGTAACAAAAAACTTGACAGGACACAAATTAGTCATTTGTATTCTAGAGCTTGACAAGTAGACATTGGTGGTAGCGGCCCCAGGTCAATAGATAGTGCATCTATTTGAATTGTGGTGACACTCTTGGTCTTAGTATGGCCGAATACCAATCGGAATGAGCTGCTGCAGTAACACATGATAGTCATAACTCTTCAAAACCGTCAATGTCCCAGTTTCTATTTTAACGTGCCCTGATATATTGCTAGCATACGCATCTGGAAATTTCACCTTGCAAAGCCACTTCAAGAATCTCTTCTTGTCATTCGGCTTGAAAATATAATTGGTGTGTCATTTCTTGTATTTACCATTCACTAATGTAGGCCACAGTTTGGACCTTATCCCTATTTCTTACATGCCAGTATGAATCTTTCGATTTTCCCTCGATAGGCAAAGTCGTTCCCACTACATTGCAGCAAACCGTGTTCTCAATATGCATGGGATTAACAACGTTTCAACCAGTATTCCAAGTCAAAGAATATACTCTTTTTCGTCCAATTCAGTTATTCCATTGGTCTCGATCCCTTCCCAAAATGAAAGTATTCAACTTGGACAGTAGCTCATCTCCGGACAATTTTCTTGGTTTAAGCAAACTCTGTTATCCCATCAAATGCTTTAGGGTTGCTACACCACTCGTGATCCCAAGGGAGCCATCTTCGGTGACCCAAGTAGCATACCTTTCCAATACACAATAGTTTGTGCATTGTTATATCCTAACCAAGATCTTTCAACACTTTTTTCGAGCTAGAATGATTTACATGTAATGCATTTGATTTAGTATGGATTAATCATATTACACTATATTTTCATGTGCATCAACTGTATAACGACTGTTAGGACGGAAAAAAAACCTTGATAATCAGGGTACAATTCTCGTTGATCTTATTTCAACAATTTATCGTACTTCTCAGGACCTGTGGATGGCTCTTCGACTATACTGAGTGAAGCATTAGGGAAAGCATCGTTCAATATGTCCAACACTTGGCCATCATCAACACTGCCATATGAAGGGTGTTCATGCTGAAGTGTTCCACTGCCGAAAGACGTTGACGCTATAATGGGCGATTCTCCATGATACGTCCAATTGGAGTATAATACCAACCCAGTCATATAAATGATATAGGACTTCATCTAGTGTCATCCAAACATAGATGCCACATTTCACATACGAACACCTGATACAATTCTGAGCACCAACATGGTTGCATGCAAATTGAATAAATTTGTCCATCTCATCTAAATATTGGTCACAACTTCTATCGTGCAACTTAATCCACTCTTTATCCATTGTACCTATTTTCAAATAATTTAGTCATTATAACAATTGGATATACGCTTGACTGTCTCCTTATGCCTCTGGTAATGATTATATCCCATTCAAAAGTGTACGTGCTGTGTTGCGGTTTGTGATTCATGTGATTATTTTCGATCATAAAAAAAATCCGCATCATCTCCCTAAGGTTCCCCAAGTGCATGACGTAGATATTAAAAAACAAATATCTAGTATGCACTCGAAAAGCATTAGGAGGACACATCCGAATTTTTAATGATTGAAACTTAGCCACGTTCACTGCAAATACTAAACACATACTAGTGCACTCTCGAACCGGCTGAACTAGACAATTCAATAACCGTTAGATTGCGGAGATGCTACTGCATCTACACACATGTCCAACAAACTCTCCAAAGGGTATAAGGTTTTTTTTCGAGTTTATTATACGAAGTTCATAATCTTCCCCGTCCCCTTGAATCTACTTGTTTCCTGAAAAAGACAAAGGTGTGGCATCATGAGTTACACAAACCCAATAAGTACAACAAAACCAACGTACACAACTAAGCGTTAAAGAAAGATCATTATTGACACTAAAACTCCAATCAACGAAATGAAACATTACTCGAATAAGAAATATGGTTTAGTATGGATCTATATATATACGAACATATTAGGTATATATCTTCTCTTCTTTATCATTCTATAAACTGGTAACTTCACACACCGTACCTGTAAAATAACAGGTAGATGAAGAAAAAAAAAAGAATTGATTAGCCTGGCGCACTCGAATCAAACCACATAAGAAATGAACAGATCTAAAGCAATGTGGAGCAAATTTGAGTTTTATAGAAACGAATTTCAAGTTTCAGGGGGAAAAATGTGATCAAAATCGAGTTCTAGGGCAAAGTGAAGCGAAGTTTAAGTTTCAGGGGATAGAGTAGTGACTTTTGAGTTATAAGGAGCAAATTAAGATTAAAATCAAGTTCTAGGAGGCGTAACTAAAAATAAGTCTAAGATATATTGCTTAGTCCTATGACCATTTTGGAGAATAATATTGTCGGATCTTAAATTTGGGGGATTTTTTAGTTATTTCTAAGCTTGAGATTATTACACATACATATATTTCAATAACACACAAACTCAAAATTTCACATAAGCCGCAATTTTAACATACATATGTATCACAATTAAATAAATTAAAACTTATTAAAAAATAAATTAAGAGACAAAATACATACATTTCCTTTAAGAGAAAATTATAGTAATGATCACTCAACTTTAACCTAATTGGAGTAATGATCACTCAACTAAAATTCATAACCATTGGTCCTTTAACTCTTCAAAACGTGCAGCTATTGTTATTTTCATCAACTCCGTTAGAACTTCCATCAAAATGAGTCATGTGTCATACACGTGATGTTGAATCAAGGGGCAAATATGAAAAACAAAATGAGAAAAATGGTAACAATGGTCCCCCACTTTAACTCAATTGCAAAAATGGTCCCTCAATTAACTTTAACCCATTTGGAGCAATAATCCCTCAACTTTAACCTAATTGTAGCAATTGTCCTTCCAACATGACTGATTTTGACAAAATTGTGACTGAATTGACGAAAATGACTATAGTTGCACGTTTGATAAGTTGAGGGACCAATAGTCATGAATTTTTAGTTAAGAGATCATTGCTCAAATTAGGTTAAAGTTGAAGGACCATTGTTACCATTTTCTCTTCCTTTAATTTTTTCCAATCTGATCACAAACTTACAACAACCAAAATTATTTAGTCACACAATTAAACAAAAAGAATATTTAACAAAGAAAAAAAATAACCTTAAATGAATTGGGAGAGGGAGAGATGAGGGAGATATGGGTGTGAGTGTGAGAGAAAAAGAATGAGAGAGAGAGAGAGATTGTTATTTTTTTTTTTTGCAGATGGAGTAGCGCCACTTAGGGGAAGGAAGAAGAAAGAAAGAGAAATGATAAAGAAGAAGGCACAAACCTTTTTTATGGATAGGGTTTTGCCCGATGAACCATTTCGTCGAGCAAATATAAGCAAGACGTCAAGCAAAATGTTAGGTTGTGGTATTTTTTGACAGGTCATTATGGATCTTTGCCCAACAGCATAAACACTTGACCTAACGAAATGTGTCGTCAAGCAAAGGTCCTTAAGTCAACGAACTTGGTTTTCGTCCGATAAATCTTTACACAACACACGCCATATTTTTTTCTTAGTGCCAAAAGTTTGCCGACTAATTATATCGCGCAAAGCCTTTTGCAAAATTCAAAATGTTGACCAGCTTTGCCTGGCCAACATATATTTTCGTCAGATAAACTAACTTGACCCCATAAATATGTTCGTCGGACAAAAAATTAGTTGCGTGAATAGTATTTTCTGGTAAAATCTCTTCTTGAAAGTGCTTGAGATGTACAAAATTTTCGAGATTGGTAGAGGCATAGAAACAACTGATTTGTATTACCCAATGAAAAATAACCACGATGTCCATGGTCTTCCCACCTTTGCTCGCTGCCTCGTGGAATTTGTTGGAACATTTTCTTTCTTGATGAGGATGATGAGATTTTTCTCTCAAAAAAAAAATGATGAGATTGGACAAATGTTTGAAGATTTCATGTTCATCTGATTTAAAGTCCATAACTCTTTCTCATAAACTAAAATGGACAAAACCCAATATAGGGGCGGGCAAATGGACCCTGGACCCGCGGGTCAGGATGGATCCATGCAGATAGGAGCGGAGACGGGTCCAAAAATTCTAAACACAAAAATCGGCCGGGCAGAACGCGGGTCCAAAAATCTTCGACCACTGCTACCAATCCGACATCGTCAATACCATCGTGCTGCAGTTCCTCCCTGAGCATCTCCACCCTCCTACGGTCGAGATTGTCCCGTATTTCACTGAAAGCTTCAGGAACCCGAGCCGAATCGATTATGGTACAGGGTGCGACAGCAATCTTCTTCTTCGATTCTGCAGATTGGCTCTACGGTCTAGAATTAAAGAAGAACAGTGGTCCAGAGCACAAAGGCATAAAATTCTGTACAAGCTTGGATGGAAAGCCAAGAGAAAAGCCAAGATTCCAAATACCCACTGGAGAAGAAGCTTGGATGGAAAGACAAGATTCCAAATACCCACCGGAGAAGAAGCTTGGATGGAAAAGCCAAGCAAAACACACCTTGTCCTTGATCAACATTGTCAAAGCGTAATACAAAATACACAAAAACATCCGCAGCCGAATCGATTATGGTACAGGGCACAGGCATAAAATTCTGCAAATTGGCTCTACTGTCTGGCGAGAATCGGGTGTTTGAAGAAGATTAGAAAAAACCAAGACTCGCCCTGTTTCATCACAAACGGTCCGGTCCAGTTCAGTTTGGTTCGATCGGGTTTAATTTGGCCTGATCTGATTTGGTCCGATCCGGTCTGATCGGGTGTCTCTAACTTTATGCCCGGTCTGGTCTGTGCTCTTCTCTAACCAAATAAATTGCTA